TGGTGAAACGTATCATCACTGGTCTGTAATGCTACATTCAGAGCGCAAGCAGCAGAGGTAGCAGAAGCGGCTAGTATACATGCAAAGTCCATGGTTGATGCGCATCAAGGTGCAACAAAAGGTGCCGCAGTGTGTTTTGAGCAGCAGGAGCAGCGCGTCATGAGCTTCTGAGCATCTGACGTGCACGACAGCGACCGGGCCAGAGGCTGCTGTTGAACAGGATTCCTAGTGACAGCGCACTGCGGGGGTTTTGAGCGGCTCTGACAGCGAAATAATATTTGAAGGCAGGATTGTTATCTTGATGAACTGGCTGCACAGATGAGGTTGTCAGTTGGACTTTCTCACATATAAACATATTAAAACTACTTTTCACCCACATACAACTGCAAATATAGCTGCCATTGTTACAGTCAAAGAAAGGATAGGGTAGCTCCGCCCAACGAGCAGCAGACCCACTTTTCGACCGCGCAGCTAGAGCAGCAAAGATGCTTCAGCTGCGCGTCAGAACTAAACTTGTAGAAGCATCTAAAATGAAGCAGCACATGCGATTTTGCTGCTCACGCTTTTGCGGTCTGAATGTAACATTACGGATTTCTCTCCACAGTTCGGTGTGCAAGTGATCCACGGATTGGTTGACCAAAATAAATAAATACATAAAGAGGCGTGCTCACGTGGAGAATGCCTGTTCAATCCAGTCAAGTAAACGGAGCGTTCATGTCTAGCAGAGGAAGAGGGGAGCTTGAAAAACCACCTGCATCCTTTAAGTTGCTTTATGGGAGCCTTTTGGCTTCCGTGTCAAATACTGTGATGTTGGAGGAAGGGTGGTGGGCAAAACAATGACAGTATATAGACATATGAGAGTGGAAATACATCTAGCATGGCCCATTTAAAGCGACGTCATCCGTATCAGTGCCCGTGACAGGATACAACACGAGTGCTGCTCAACAGGCACTTATCACTGCGGCATTTAAACAGCCTTCAGCTGCAGAATCAGACTATTAAACTTATGCTAAATGTGCTTTTGCCACACTATTTAACTATATCGCGCACTCACTTTAGTGAAAAAATGGTGCCTCATCTATACGAGCAGGAAAAAACATTTGTTGCTGAATTGCGACTGGCATTTTCTGTTGCGCTCACCACAGTCGGTTGGACTTCCAGATCAACAAAAAGCTACATACACAATGACAATAAAGGGATTTAAAGAAGGTTTCATGTATTTTATTGCAGTAGGACTGCAATAAAATGCTATCAATGTAAATAAAAAAATGCTTGCAAAAGCCTGTTAATCAACTATCAATGTAAATGAATGCTATAGACTAATCTGTTGATTATTTTTTGATTAATGGATTAATAATCTGATAACAAAGGGTTCCTTTAAGAAGAATTTTTAGCCAGTGGAAATTAAAACGTTTCCACTTGAGAGTTATACATCGTACTGGCTGCATGTTCTCATTTATTATTGCGTTAGATGTGGAAAGTAAGAGTTTTTCTTCTTTTTTTTTTCATTAAAGGCAGCCATTTATTGCTGGCATATACCTGCTAATGTCTGTGGACACGATTATACCTCCAGGGAAAAAAGGTATGTGTATATTTTGTATGAATTTGTCTAAGCCAACGGTGTCCAAAGG